CCCCAAAACCCCAAAACCCCAAAACCCCACTTGCAATTAAACCCCAGATTTATGAATAAAATTTTATCTTAAATTAATTAGTTTATATTATAGTCTATGCAAGAGTATTTATATAGAAAGTGTTGATAGCTTTATGTATTACTTGAGTATTTCAGATGATTCATCATAGCATTTGAGATGGATCGAACTCAGAATTCCTTATTTGATCAAGGAAATTCGGATCAAATGCAGTAGACTGAGTACGTCTATGTCTGTGTCCACTTCCACTGGTCTAGCGTTTATGACTACCTGCAAGTGAATTCGTTGCCAGTCCATTACTAGCAGATTGATTTTATTAGGTGGGCGAGAATAATTTATCAGATAGTACCTGAGGTGGCTATTGCTAATGTAGTTATTATGAGGATAAAGTTTTTTTAGGAGATGGTTGTTTCGGATGAGGCTACTAAGGCTTTGATTGATGTTGAGAAGAAGGTAAGGGCTCAGATTATTTTTTATTAATCTAGCTTGAAGTCCTTTTATCATGCTATTGCTATGAACATGATTATGATTGGCTTTACTTGTTCTTACTCATAAATTTGTTGGGTTGACTTTGCTTCGGTTATTGAATTATTTCCATTTTAGTGGCTAGGTTTTAGGAAACTGAAGAATATAACAATGGATTTTATCCAGTTTTATTCTCTTTGTTGTTCTTGATGGTTGGGCTTCTCTTTATTGGCTAATGTCCACTTAAACTTGTTGTTGAAGTGGGAGGCTTCTTATCATTTTTAGCAGGCTATTATTGCTTTTTAGACTAAGCACTACCTTAGTCGCTCTAAAGAATGACCAAGTCTATTTTCACCTCTCTTGGTGATTATCTTGGCAATTGTATTTTATTTTTATCTTGCTCTTGCTTTGTGGTGATATTCTTTAAAGCACTTGTAGTTGCTGGGATGTCTTACTTTTATCGTGAGACAAAAGTTTATCCTGCTTTTTTAGAAGAATTATTATTGATGATCAACTCCTTAGGTGCCTCAACTTTTGAAATCGTAGTAATTTACTAGCAACTACTGGACTGAAGAGTTTACTGCGATTTATGCTAGTTCATCTGGGATTGAACATTACGGCTATTATTGTTCAGCTATTATAAACTGCCTTTGACTTGAGATTAAAGAGGCTATTAAAGTGTGCTTGAGAGCTTAGAACTAGAAGCTGAGCTTTTGAGGACTTTATTGAATGCTTTCGAGTTATCAAAAGTCTTATACATCCAATCATCAAAGCAGCTAGCTTCATCATCGTCCCTAACCTTGCAAGAGTCAGATGTCAATTAAGAATTTGAAAGACTCATTTTGCCATTAGTCATTGACCTTTGGGATTCTAACTAGTTCCCACCATAATTTGCTAGATCTGAGGTCTTAATAAGCTCTTCATTTTCATCTATAACATTTTCCTAGCATTCATTGATTACTCCAAGAGATCCAAGTTTGAACTCAGACGATTGTATTTAAATATCTGGCGAGTTGTTAGTGCTTCCCTCAAATGACTTAAGAGTTTTATCACCTGAAGAACTATTTCTCATTTGTTCATATTACTTTAGTATATTTTGCTCATTAGACTCATCATAGTCATCTTCCATATCTTCCCATGTTTACTGTTCTACCACAGTGGTTACTCTCCTATCCTTAAAGTCTTGTATGTATGCTTTCTGCTATTGATATTTATCTAGTTGTTACTACTCTTAGGGAGCTACTTCATCGATATCATCAATTATATAGGTTTTTTCAACGTTTGACTATTGCTGCTTTATCCTGTTTTCCTCAATCTTTTTCATTATAATTGAGTCTTCATTATCTTGATCCATCAATCTATGCTGTGAATTTGATTTTAAAAAGGTATTACTATTGTCACTTGCTCCTCCAAGTAGCCATTCATCAACGTCCTGACTGTGTTTCATCATTTAGTCAGGGTCACATGATGTATCTGCTAACTCGTCACTTGACTCATTACCATCTTTTTACTCTTATACCAAAATCTTTTGATAATCACCATTTAAATACATTTATACTGCCTAAGCTAGTTGATGATACTTAGGAGACTAAAGTAATGAATTAAGGGCAGCTTAATTGTTATTTCCAGATACAAAATTATTGAAATCCCAATCGTTTTACCCTAAGCTATTGTTATTATTATTTTGATTATTAGTTCCAAATAAGAAATTAGCATTCTATTACACCTTGATAGGTCCAGCTCTTTTTCCTATATTTTGAATGATTACAGATTAACAGCTCTGATCAACAGATATCTGTGATTCTATAATACTGCCATTGAAGTTTCCTCCAAGCACTCCTTTATTTGAGGGACTCATGCATTCATTTAGTTTTTGCTATATTACATTTTATACTATAACCTGCTTTGGCGGACTGTTACTTCGTGCTCTTCTTTGGAATGGAAATTAGAACCCTGTCTAATTTTTACTGTTATCTTGCTGAGTATCCTCAAGTTTTTAGAAGTTACTTAGACTAAAATTGCTATTAGTAAGATTATTGTTGTGCACAAGATCACCACTTCCAGCTCTCTTAAACTTAGCTTGCTGAATATATGGACTTCTTAAACTATCACAACTACCATCTCCGCCAAAGTTATCTCCAATGTAGCTACAAGAATTTTACCTGGTTTATTGAGGTGAATGTTTTTCTATGAATTAATTAAAGCTATCAAGTTTCTTAAGATCATTCATCAATCCATGCTTTTTCATTTCTTAATCAAATGTGCCGCTATTATTACTATTGGATCTATGGCTGGGAGCTGGATTTAGTTGATTCATCTATGAATTATAATTTTGATTTGTAAATGACTTAGTTGGATTAAATAGGAATGTTTATCGATCAAGTTGGTTTAAGTTTGATTAGGTTATTGTTGTTGACTGTGTTGCAAAGTTAGCATTTAGGTTGACAGTTTTGTTAGTGTTAGTTTTTACCTTGTTAAGAAAGAAGCTTTTACCATCATTGATAAGAGGAGTATGAGAATGAATAATGCTCCCTGTTGAGGGTAGAGATTATTGATTGGATAGTTCAGTTAGAAGATCTGCTGGTTAGAATATCTAAACACTAGCTGTTTACATATCGTTTACCATTGTGGGACCCTGATTATTTCTACTTTTACTATTTCTTGAGGTTCTCTTAGGATTGTTTTTAGTATTTTCACAAAAGTCTGTCAGGCTTTTCCTTAGTTATTCCTCCAATGTTTACTTTTATAACATTGGAGTATTATTTGCAGTTGTGTTTACTTTTGATGTATCCTGGTTCAAGAATCTGTGGTTTGAATCCTCATCTAATTCACTTATACGTTTTTTATCTTAGGTCTAGAGAGGGGCTACTGACTTTGGCTTTTCATCATTTTCATCTGAAATATGGCATTCCTCTTCTTCCTCATCTTACCTAAGAACATCTGCTTCTTCAAATTTGGAGACGTTGAGGTTTTGTGGAGCTTCATATATTGACTACTATCTTGAACTATAACCCGATCTCCTTCTCTAATGCGCTTTTTCTTTTAATTGCTGATGTTAAGTAGATTACTATGATGATAATGTCACAAATTATGAATTGCTCTTATTCACTGATGCTGCATCCTGATTTTCAAAGTGTGAGATTTGCACTCCAAAGCTAATATTTAAGTGAGCTTTGTTGTTGGGTTGATGAGTCAGATTTGGGGAGGCATTTTTATTATTTTTAGCGTAAAGTAATGGTGATACGTTACTTATGTTATTATTGCTTACACTCGGCTAGGGAGAATGGACAATCTTAATTTGCTTCATAGGAATAATTCTACCTGGAGAGGGGCTTTTATTTGTGATATTCGGCTGTGTCGTTTATTTTAAATTCGTAATGCATTTTGAATTTTAAGTATTATTATTTTGATTCAATAACTATGGAGGGCTCGCAGGTCTAAATCGCAAAGGACTGACCTTCTGACCTTGCTTTATGTTGGCTGGCTGATTCTAATTTCGATTATTCGTTTGATAATTCTTGTTCAAGTCTTGCTTAGGTCTGGAGGCCTGACTGATTTAGGAAGTTTGATACGAATTGAGACTAGTGTCTTGATACTTGCTTGACTCTTGAAACAAAAATGATTTCATTTGAATCTAATTTTTTCCACCAGCATCACTGATAATATTGGCATTTGCAAGCATTTAATCAGCTTAATTGACGTTCATTATTAAACTCTAAGTTTGTACTTTGGATTTGGGCAGTGGTTTACTGCTGCTCTTCGCTGTTGTTGACATTTTGAAGTGTTGATTTGAAAAGTATGACAAAAATAAATATGTTTAAGTGGGGGCTGCTACTGTTAGCGTAATTAAGAATTTTTCTATTTTTTAATTTAAGCAGCTAGTTCATTAATATACCTAAACTCATTTAATGCTATCATTTCAAATTTAAAATAATTATCAGTTATTCTCTTTATGGGGTTTTGGGGTTTTGGGGAGATCGGA